CGGCGTATGAAGTGACTTGGAGACTGGTCTTTGGGCCCAAGCACGACTTTTAAGTTTCAGAGATCACCAGCCAGTGGGTTCTGACTACTCTCTAATGTACGCTCTCACACAGATTTTTTCCACCTAAGGCAGATGCAGGTGTCTAAGGTGTGTGTGTGTGTGTGTGTGTGTGTGTGTGTGTGTGTGTGTGTAGGCAATGGATGCCTATCGTTCCTGGCTGATTGAACATTGAATACACAGAAAGTGTTCAGTGCTGCTGCAGGGGAAGAGTGGGAGGTGCAGAGCTGTTCAACCATCAACCTAATGATGTCTCACACTTTACTTTCCCATCTGCTTTCCATTAGAGGATAATAATGTTGACTGTGCACATGTAAGATGGCTTTCTTATTTTGCAATAGTGGACATGTAATTGAACTGCATACTCCCTCATCTGATCACGTTTAACACAAGAAATTCAACATGAACGCTCGAAAACAGGGCGTCATCAGTGGCTATATATTACCACTCCCTAATGGGACTTGAACCTCTTTAGATAAGGATGTAATGCTCTAAACTAATTCATTCTCTTTGTGTCTTATACTCCCTTAGAATTTTTTCCTTCCGACTATGAATTCATTGTTATTTGATGCCACTTTGCACCATGTTCATCTTCTTACTGAGCTCCGCTGCCTTCTTTTGTCTTAATTTTGCAGGAGTGATGGAAGGACAAGACTCTATAAAAAGATTATATTGGTGGAAATTATCAGGGGAAGTGTGGGGAACATAATTATTACTAATGTAAGGCGATTGGTAACAAATTTTAATTTGATTGCTCATTCATTTAGTTAGTATTTATTGAAGATTTCTTATTGTCATACCCAGTTCTGTGTGCTGGGGGTAAATTAGTGGACAGACAGTAAAGTGAATGCAGCTTCAGAGTTTGTACTCTATTGACAGAGATCCTAGTTTGAGTCCGACATTTATATTTATGATATTCCATCAAATCACATAGTTGCATCTGAATTCAGATTTATTTAGGGTATATTTATTTTTCATTGACCTTTTGAACTCATTTTCCTTTTGATCTTCTATTGCTATGTAGTGTGGGGAAATGCTATGAGTTTTTGAAAAATAAATGCTTCATTAAAAATAATGGACTCATTCTTCATATTGCAGTCAAAATTATCTATTAAAAACATAAGTTTGATTGTATATTATTCAATATATTTCAATTTGTCATTGTTTTTAGGATAAAAGTAAAATGTTTGATACGGCCTCTTGGCCTGGCATGTCTTCCTGCTTCTCCCTCTACCTTATATCATACTATTATCCCCTCACTCTTGGTTCTGCTCATTCTGCTGTTCTCTCAGTTCTCAAACTTGCAATACTTCAATCCAATCTGGGCCCTGTCAGCTCAGCCGCAATAGTCCTCTTTCTCCTCATTGCAACTTCAAGCCCCCTGCCCTAATATCCTGCTCATCCTTCAAAATCAGCTTATGTATCTATTCTCTAGGAATCATTATCTGAGGCCCTACTTAATCAAATCTATTAATAGTTCTCCTTGTAGCCTGTTCTGTTTCATATTGCTTATCATGTTTGAAATGAATAATTAGTCATTTATCATTTGTTTCTGTAGACCATAAGTTTCATGAGGACAGGAACTATTCTTTTTCATGATCATTATTTTATTCTCAGAAGTTAGCAGAGGTTGACCTGGGGCAGTGGCTCACGCCTGTAATCTCAGCGCTCTGGGAGGTCAAGGTGGGTGGATTACTTGAGCTCAGGAGTTTGAGACCAGCCTGGGCAACATGGAGAAACCCTGTCTCTACAAAAAATATAAAAATTAGCCGGGATCCCTGCTACTTGGGAAGCTGAGGTGGGAGGATTACTTGAACCCAGGAGGTTGAGACTGCATTGAGCCATGATGAGTCACTGCATTCCAACCTGGGTAATAGATTGAGACCCTGTATCAGGAAAAAAAAAAAAAAAAAAAAGAACTTAGCATATGTCACGATATATTACAATACATTAAAGATACTCAGAAAATAAATATTTTTAGACAAAGTAATTAATCCAATTTTTCAGCAAACCTGGTATATGCAAAACACTATTTCTGTGTATTAAAGTAGCATATTAAAGCTTCCATAGTCCAAAATGGACTCAGTCATATTTTCTCTTGAATGGAAAAATTAGAGAAGTCTAACTTCAGAAAAATGATGAAATGCACATTAAAGAATGCTCTTGTGTGAAAAATGAAATGAGATTCTGAGGAGGAGAAGTTCTTGGGTATTTCTTGAGTTTTCCAATATTGACTTGGCCAAACTGAACCTCCGTGTAAACCAAGGATCCCTTGATAAAATAATCACTCAGCCTTTGTTCCTTTCATTTTGTTTTACTTTCAAAAAGCCCTCTGGATATTCTATCAAAACTACAAAGTGGAAATTGGTTAGCTTCATTTAACACCATATTGTGCAGCAAAGGCCTCACATCAAGGCACTTGTCATTTTACATTCTTCTTATTTTAATAGTTTTCCCAACTTCAAAATCTTGGAGTTGTAGATAGCCAAAGGCTTCCATCCTAAATCCCTCAAGACCGAATTCTTTGATTATATTAAAATCCTGGTGTTCTAGCAGCCATAGAAATGTAAACTTTTCTCTGATTCTTCATCCCAAGACTCTGATGAAATCACACTGATGAAATCAGGAGGGCCTTTGGCAACATACACTGACTCTCTGGGTCTTTAGCAATGGCGGAATTTCTTTGCCTTGGCTGGCACTATCTTATGTGCTAATTGTAATTTGAAATGTAAATGGCAATAAACGTTTTCCAATTTTCACTGAAATTTCAAAAGAATAAGACAGGAAACCATAAAGTAATTTCCTCACAGGAAAAATGTTATAAAAGAACAAATTATTATTGCTTTGATCTGTTTTGTTTATGAATATGGAAGCCTGTGGGTGGAGTTTGAAGTTTTCATATCTAGTTAAAGAAGCTATAAACTTTACAGGTGGGATTTGTTATAGATTTTGGAACAAAATATGCACATTTTAATGTATGCCACAGGTATTACACCAAGAAGCTTTTCCTCTTGTTTTATTGATAAAATCTCCTTCTTTGATGTGTGACAGATTTTCTACTAGAAACATGTCTGTTTTTTTGAATTGTTAGTCCAGAAATGCAGCATTAGGTATTTTGATGACCAACATAATAGTGTTTCCTATCAATAACTCTAAATATTTTTCTTTTTAATTTATAAAATACTATTCTATGTTGCCTTCATTTAGAGTTTTATAGGGAATGTATTATCTGCTGGATATTTACCATAATATTTTATAAAACTTATGCTCTGTGTATCCTAACTAAATTGAGGTTTGAAGTAATTCGTGTACAATCAGCTAGGTCAGAAACCTTTTCATTTTAATGCTGACGTGGAAGGGTCATGTCAAGAATTACTTAATGACCTCACAGAACTGGAAAAAGAGGTCAGTAATTGTATTTACATTGTAAGATCTATATACTTCTTTGTTTATTAAATTGACCTCTAACTCAAGTCAGGAGATTATTTATGTCCTATTATAGCTTGCAGACAGTGTATCTTGCTATCAGTGTTTCTTTAGCTGGATTAGCATTTCAGTGTTGTCTATTTTTAGTTTTGTGATACGGCAATTGGAGCTTTGTGTAATTTCATTTGTCAAAACTCGATCATGTCTTTAATTTGTTACTGGGCAGTTCATCAGGCAATTTTGTAAAGCATTATTGTGAAAAGAGTTCTAGCCCTGCGGAAACTCTCCTGAAGCCAAATTCCATTTAGGAGTAGGACTGTTATACATTTAACCGTGTAATGGAAAACATGTTTGCATGGGGAGTTTCTTGTGTAATAATAACAGAACTAAAAGAAGTGAAAATTGAATAATTACCCTTTACCAAGTAACTGCCATGGGCCAAGCCCTGTGATAGGGGCGGAAGTGGTGTGATTTCTGTTTGTTTTTTGTTTTTGAGACAGAGTCTCGCTCTGTCGCCCAGGCTGGAGTGCAGTGGTGTGATCTGCAACCTCCACCTCCTGGGTTCAAGCGATTCTCCTGCCTCAACCTCCTGAGTAGCTGAGACTACAGGCGCGTGCCACCACACCCAGCTAATTTTTGTATTTTTAGTAGAGACAGGGTTTCGCCACATTGGCCAGAATGGTCTCGATCTCTTGACCTCATGATCCACCTGCCTCCACCTCCCAAAGTGCTGGGATTACAGGCGTGAGCCAGTGCGCCCGGCCGGAAGTGGTATGATCTCTAATCCTCACAGCAACCATAAAACGTAGCTGTGATATTAAAACAGTCTCCATTTTACATATGAAACACAGAAACAGGCACAGATTTCTTTTTTTTTCTTTTTTTTTTCTCACGTACTCTTTTTAATATTATTATTATACTTTAAGTTCTAGGGTACATATGCACAACATGCAGGTTTGTTACATATATATACATGTGCCATGTTGGTGTGCTGCACCCATTAACTCATCATTTACATTAGGTATATCTCCTAATGCTATCCCCCCCTCACCCCACGACAGGCCCCAGTGTGTGGTGTTCCCCACCCCGTGTCCAAGTGTTCTCATTGTTCAATTCCCACCTATGAGTGAGAACACACAGTGTTTGGTTTTCTGTCCTTGCGATAGTTTGCTCAGAATGATGGTTTCCAGAGGCACAGATTTCTTAAGTAACTTAGCTATAGTCACCTAGCTAGAAGATGGAAAAGCCTAACATCGAAGCTGATGGGCCCATGACATACATCTTCTTTCATCTCTTTGTGCCTTAAATTTTATGGCATTTATTTTTGCTATCGTAGTATGTTTCTTCACTCATCAATTATTGTTTTGATTTATTTTATTATGTAGCCCAAATGTGGACCCTTTCTTAGATGTCAAGTTAAAAAATTTTGCTCCTTGGAAATATATTAAGAACTTTGTTAAGTTATAATCAAAAGTATTTTTTTTATCATCTTTCATATTAAAAGACAATCACATCCTTTATTATAAACTTTTAAAAGTCTGTTTCCAGATCAGCAAATGTGAATTTCAGACAAATGTGCCATGGAAGGCATACTAATAGCCCCCCCAAACATGTTTATATCTAATCCCTGGTACCAGTGAATATGCTAGGTTACTTGGGAAAAGAGACTTTACAGCTGTTGTTAAATTGATGATCTTTAGATGGGAAGATTATCTATGGGTGGGCCTAATGTAAACACAAGAATCCTTACAAAAAGAAAATACCAGCACAACAGGAAGTCACAGTCAGAGAGGGATTCAGTGATGCTACTCTGATGCCTTTGAAAATGGGGGAAGGACCCAGGAGCCAAGGAATGCAGGCAGCCTCTAGACACGAAAAAATAAAAAGAAACTGATTCTCTTCCAGAGCCCCCAAAAGGAATGCAGCCCTGCCAACACCTTGATTTTATACCTAGTAAGCCCTGTATCAAACTTCTGACTTCTGGAAAGGTAAAATAATACATTTGTATTGTTTTGGGTAATATGTTATAGTAATATATGAAATGAATACAAATGCAATTGATTGAATTTTAATTCTAGATGTGGAATCAGGCTTCAATTGGAGCCTTTTCTGCTCAATGGGAGCCCAGAAATTCTATGTGGAAGATTCTTAAGGACAGCAATGTGACTGAAATGGGGTGCTGGGAGAGTATACTGAGTTGCCTTCATATAGCAAATCACTTTTCTTTTTTTAATTAAAATGAAGCCACTGTTTCTTCCCCTTATTTTTTTACTTACTTACTTACTCACTTACTTACTTACTTACTTACCTACTTACTTACTTATTTTTGCTTTGATTTTACCTTACTAGCTTCTTGATTTGGGGGACGGTAAAATCATACCTAAGTTTCTTCCTGCCTAAAGGGTATCGTGGGTATATAATTTGGTAATGTATGAACTCCTGGTAGAGAAGTTAGTATACAGTAGGCTGCCCAAAACTGATAGTGATTCTAAAAAATATGTCATATTCTTTAAAAATTCTAAAAGTATGTCATACCTGACTCCAGGATTGTTGTGGGTATACAGAGAGGTAGTCAGTCATAAAGCATGATGTGGACTCTGAAGTACTGTGCCTGTTTTAGTTTCCTTATTACATTATCAATAAACTGGATGCAAAATATCAAAACACACATCCATGGAGCAAATGACACTTATTTTAGTGATCAAATGGTCACTGTTAATGATTTGCTTCTTCCTCGCCAATCTTGTCCGTGAACATCTAGGCCTAGAAAGGTTTCCTTTGACCATCTTTCTGGGCTCTTCTGCTGGGGTCCTAGGCCCTGCTTCCTTGTGATCTGGGAAACCAGTCCAGAGACTGTTTTGTCAGGTGCAGTCCTAGCTGGTTGATTTCCAAATCTCTGAAGTTAAAAAAAAATAATAATAATAAGCTTCCTCTAACTCAGTCTCAATTGCGACTCATTTTTATGCTGTTCAATAGAAAGGACATCAACTACCATTCTATTTACTACCTCATGTTTTTTAGCTCCCACATATGAGTGAGAACATGTGATATTTGTCTTTCCATGCCTGACAGTTCACCTAACATCATGTCCTCCGGTTCTATCCATGTTGCTGCAAATGCCAGGATTACATTCTTTTTTATGGCTGAATAATATTTTGTTGTGTATGCGTACCACATTTTCTCTATCCATTCATCCATTGATGGACAGTTTGGGATTGGTTAATGAGTACAAAAATACAATTAGATACGAAGAATAAGATCTAGTCTTTGGTAGCACAATTGGGCAATTATAGTTAACAATAATTTATTGTATATTTTGAAATATCTAGAAACGAAGATGAGATGGGGCAAGGACCTCTCACAGGGGCCTGCTGCTGCCCCCACTGAAGCATAAAAATAAAGGAAAATATTACGTTTCTTCAAGGGACATTTCAGGCACCTAGCTAGCCTTGAGAAGTACATGATAAACCTGATAAACAAGAAGGTAATAGTAGCTTTTGTTCTGTTTTAAGAAACAATAGCCATGGAAATTAGAGTCACTAGATGTTTGGTTCCCTATAGAAACTAAGATAACATCTTAATATATGTCCCTGAGTTGTTTCTCAGAAACCCAGATCCCACCAGATGGATCCATTGGCATGTAGAACTCAGATAAGGGGGAAGTAAGAACCGAAGTCTCGACCACTGTTCTTTGTTTTAAATTTCTTCCTTAGGGGTCTAGAGGAAGTCATACCCACAGGCCAGACCTAACATTTCTTTCTGCTGACCCAAAATTTTTAATCTTAATCAACTGCAAATCAGAAAGTCTTTGAATCTACCTGTGACCCGTAGGTCCTCACTTCAACATATCCTGCCTTTTTAGGACAATCCAATGTATAGCCTCCAGGTATTGATTTCTGACTTTGCCTGTAACCTCTGCCTCCCCACCTTTAAAAGTCCTTACATGTAAGCCATCAGGGAGGTCACGTCTTAAGCATGACCTGGCTGATTCTGCTTGCCTGAAAATAAATACTTTCCTTTCTCCCGCTGTAAAACTTTGGTGTTGTATGTTTGGCTTTACTGCACCAGGCAAGTGGATGTCAGTTCATTTTGGTAACAAAGATTTGGAATGTTCCCAACACAAAGAAATGGTAGGTTTTTGAGGTGATGGATAACCCAATTAGCCAGATTTGATCATTATCCATTGTATACCATTGTATACTTGTATCAAAATATCACATGCACCCCATCATATGTACAACTATTAAGTATCCATAAAAATTACAAACAATGAAGATAAAGAACGTCAGCTGTGGAATCTGATAGACCAGAATTGCATTTGAGTTTTCTCACTAACTAACTACATAGCCTTGTGTAAATTGTCTTAACCTTTCTGAACCTTAGGTTTCTAATCCATAAAATGTGAATCATAACACCTACTGCAGTTTTTCTGTGATGTTTAATTGAGATAACATATTTAATGCATTTAGGATAGGGGCTTGACCTTAGTAGGCATCCAAATATGGCCTATATTTTGCAAATGTGTTCAGGGATTTGAAGCACTAGATACAATGTTGAATTAGTTTTCAACATTGAAAACTGTTTCTCTAAAGCCTTAGTTTTACTATTCTATGTAAGTTCAAAGGGTAAAATTGAGAACCTAGAATTAACAATGTATGTTTTTCATCTTAAACGAGGCAATTTTTTTCTTTCCTTTTTTTTTTTTATTTTGTGTGTGTGTGTGTGTGTGTGTGTGTGTGTGTGTGTGTGTGTGGTATTATGGAGATATAGTGGTCAGAGTTCAAAGGACTGGTCTAAATTTCCAGAAAGGCCAAGATTCCCTTGTCAAGTGCAGTTGCATTGCCAATGAGTATTTCAATTTGCCTTGCCACATAACTGTTTTCTCTATTGTGAGATTAACTTCAGTTAAAATCTTTTGTGGCTATGTTCTTTCTTAGATTTTTCCCTATAACTGGTCTCCATGCATTTCTTCTGCATTAGCACTAATTTGCTTGTGCCTATGATTGCAGTCAGAACTAGGCTGAACTTCTGAATTTTAGCTATAAGTCTTTTCATCCTAGATATTTTAGAAATTTAATTTATTATTAACCCAGAGAAAGCAAAACCCTGTAAAAATTTATATGATGGTTATAACTGACTTGATTCTTTTCCTAGAGCTGAAAGGTTTAGAGAAACTCAACATTTGAAATATTGATTATACAGGATTCATCATTTTCTCTCTCTCATAGGAAATGAAAGCTTCCTGGGCAAGAGAAATGCACTGCAGTGTTATACAAGTCTCTAATATTGATTGTGATTAAGGGTTGTAAAGTACTGACTACATGGATTTAAAGTCTTATGGACAATGAATACTCACACTTCTGTCTTGAAGTGAGAGAGAGGATAAATAGAAAGTGGGTCACTGAAGATTGTTAAAAGTGCCAATTAGTGACCCTAGGCATTACTTCCTGTAAAGAAAAGTAGGCAAAACCTAAAGAGCCCTGTAGATTGGATTCATAGGGCTTTGGGGTACCAGCAAACAAGGTGCAACTGCTGCTTTACTTCATAAAGATAATAAGCATTCAGGAACCACGAAGAGGGGGAAATAAAATATGAAAAAAGATTATATAGACATCAAGGAAATGTTACTAAGAAGACCAGAGTGCAAAGCACTAAGACAGGGTGTTACTGGGCTCTTAGGAATCGCAATTCGGGAGACTAGATGCGACTAGAAGGCAAGTTGTGTCCCAAAGAAAGGAAGGAGAATGGGAACTTTTAACACAATGCTAAAAGTGATCGCATGTTATTTTGAAAGAATTATCAAAATAATACCTGACTCCATAGTTCGTTGGTCGTCGCTGTTCAGGAGTTGCAGCACAGGCAAAAATCAGCCGTTTTCCAGGATGTTGTGGTCATGGCAGTTTGGCCCTTCAAAGGTTTAAGGCAAGTTCCTGCTGAGACAACCAAGTAAAAAGGGGTCCCCAGAGAATCGCCAACTACTCTGCACAGTGTGAGGATGGGGTGGAGCCTTAGAAAATTCATGCCGTTTGCAGTGGGGAGGAGCCCGGCCTCTCCTGTTCCTGGGTAGTAACTTGGAATTTAATTCGTTGAGGGGGAGAGCCTGTTAGTAGGACTCCATCTCACTTTGCTGAGTTGTATTTCCTTTTTCCTTTTCACCTAATAAATCCCACTCCTCACCTAATAAATTCCACTCCTCACCCTCTGTGTGTCTGCGAGCCTAATCTTTCCTGGTCATGTGACAAGAACCTGGTTTCTTCCTACAACACTGCTTTACAAGGTTGCAGGTCATGCAAGCGGTCTTCCTAGAATGGTTTCTTGACCCCATTTTAGAGCTCTAAACCAGAATGGCATCATTTTGTACATTACATTTCACAGAGAACAGAATGTTCTTAAGTATGGAGGAAGAAAAAGTGGTGTATTTATGAAGAGATGGACCTTTCAGCTTCTAAAATACATAGTTGGCCCTCCAAGTGTGCAAGGCATTACAAGTAATATATGGACATGTGTTTATAACATTGGAATGAGGTTGGGTAACATCTGAAAAGACATTCTTAATTTGTTGGCATAAATAAATTCCCACACCATGTTTGTTTTCATTTATACCTCCTCAATTAGGAGGTAATAGCTTATACTGTACTTTTTAATAGTTAGGTAATGTGTAGGTTTTTCAACTTGTTGACCTGTAATATCCCTGTATTATAACTTGTATATATTTACAATGTCACCGTAATATCATTTGTAATATAATGTGAGGTCCTATTTAAATAAAGTAAGATGGCCGGATGCGGTGGCTCATGCCTGTAATCCCAGCACTTTGGGAGGCTGAGGCAGGCAGATCACGAGGTCAGGAGATCCAGACCATCCTGGCTAGCGTGGTGAAACTCTGTCTCTACTAAAAATACAAAAAAATTAGCCAGGCATGGTGGCGGGAGCCTATAGTCCCAGCTACTCGGGAGGCTAAGGCAGGAGAGTGGTGTGAACCCAGGAG